AATACTATTTCTTATCTAACACTATCTAATACATTATTATATGAGTCAGCAAAATACCCAGAATTTCCTAGAATTGTTCATAATAAAAAAGAACTACCATCTCCCCTTTGAACAGTAGGCATTGCCTTGCCACACCTGGCACACAAAATAGCTAGCCTAGCCTTCAACTACTCTAAAAAAACAAACAGGGTTCTGATAATAACCAAATACTTAAGAAACTCATTCCTGGTACTCTCCAGGAAGGCTCTTCCCACTAAAATCCTGTACCGTAGTTAAATTGGCTGTTGGGCTTCTCACAGTTGATGACGTTCAAGCGATAAGGGACACCAGCTCTCATGCCGCTGACGTTGAAGTAGAACCACTGCTGATGGTGGGTGCTGTTGACATCAGCATTAAGTAACAAGTCATACTCAAACCTGGAAAATCACATGCGAGATTAGAGGGTTATCTAGAAGGCCTGGGAGAGAGCAGCCATCATTGAGAATTTACAAGTCACCCATTGTAGGTTATAGATCTAAGACCCAGGATCTCAGGGATCCAGTAAACTGTTATTATCATCCTTATTTTAAATGCTACATATTGTTATGATACTGGATCTGGACTCCAGAACTGTTAGAGAGTAAATTTGTCTTGTTTTAAGCCAGCAGTTTTGTAGTAATTCATTGGGCACAAGCTTTGGAAAATGAGCCTTTTTTCTTTTTCTTGGCATTAGCAGGTCAGTTACACAACTGTAGCATAGCATATTTTTTCTTATTAAACTACCATGAACTCACTATCCAGCTAGAAAAGTGCACGTGTGCCATATCCCGGAGAAACTACAGTCACATCTAGACGGGATATGCCATTACTAGCCTTGCTTTTTGAGACTCAGTCTCCACATGGGTCCACGGAAATCACGTTATTTGTAAAGATTAACTGTACAGTGTGTGTACACCCCCCATCAGAGCAACAGATAGGAATTAGGTTGCTTGTATTTTTCTTATTTCAATTGAGACATACTTTACCTGCAGTACAGTGTACTGGGGAATGAATTTGTTTGCAGAGAGATGCACCTATGTAGCCACTATCAAGATCAAACTATAAAACATTTCCAACACCATAAAAAGCTCTCTTGTGTCCCCTCTCCTGTCTCCAAATGGAATCAATTTTCTGAACTCTGGCGGGAGAATTAAGCAAGAAACAAAATCCTTTCCTAACTGTTCACCTCCACTCACTCCCATCTTGCTGTGACATCAACTAGGGAGTCCCCTAGCGGTGTGCTAGCAAATGCTTACCAACTGGCTCTCACTCTCAGGAGAAAAACCGTGATTTGTTGCATTTGTTGATTTTTTTCAGGAAGAATATTCCCATCATGGCCAATTTAAAGCTACTCTTATGAGGTCATTAAAAGAGAAGTGGGGAAGAGATGCGGACAGCCCACTCTCTCCAGTTGGCAGGAGCTGTCCCCGGAGGACTTCCCTTACTTACTGACGCACTTGGATGACTTTGCGAAGATTTCCAGATTCAAACTTAGAGAAGAACCTTAAGCAAGTAGAAGTACTAACGTCTTGCACAGACCTGTAATAAATCAGGAAACATATCAAAATGTGCATTATTGCTGTTCTTGGTCATACTCAGTTTAGCATTCTTCAGCAATAACTTTTTATAGATCTTTAACGTAAAATTCAACATGCATTTTTGAGGAGCAGGAATGGATTACTAATATGAAAAACCCCTGCTTTTAGGCCATTAACAGCATTATCCACACCCTCCATTCAGTTGAAACACAAGGCCACCTACCCAGGCTCCTCATCTAAACTGAAGACAACTTTATTGATGGTATCACTTGGCTGAATCAGTCTCTGAACATCCTCAAATATCTTGATCCTGAAAGGAGACATTGGACATATTTTTAAGAACTGGTCTTCATTCTATACATTCTATAGGTCACCTGGAATGGGTCTAAGGAGGTGACATGTAGGATGTAAAGTTACAATTTGTTGACCAAACAGAAAAAGAAGTTAATGAAACATTCTGATTTCATTTTGCTCCGCTGATGTACTATATATATTTTTTTTTTCCATGACTTTCTCAGCTTTCATTTTAGTCTCACTATACTGAACCAGATAAATATGATACAAAAAGAAAAACTTAATAACGCCCAAACTTGAGCTGAAAACTTTTCTTCACTATTAAGAAATAGAACTGTGCTGGATAATAAGGATGTTGAAAGCAGTGATGGCAGATTTTAGTTAGGGTACCCTTGACTCAGTGAAGAGTTTTGTCAAGAGCATTTGAACTAGGGGACTTGGGAAGTTGTCTGGTTGTATGATTAACAGGGTCATTTGTATTGAGACTGTCTTGATGGAGGCTTTGGGACTGGAGAATATTAGCCTCCTCAAGGTTTGGGAGATTCCTATAAATGCTTTGAGATCTTGTGATATTTATATCCCTTGGGTTTTGTCTGTCCCAGAAAGCTGGAGTGAATCTTCTGTTTGAGAAACACCAGTATCCAGGAGATTTAGCAAAGAGGGAAGAGGAAGTCACAGGGGACTTTCAGAGTTCCTTCTTGAGTTTCCAGTGCAGTTCACTGGGGTAGATAGGGTGATGGGCATGAGGCCTAGACTCAGGGGACAGATGTTCTCTTCAGTGATACGATGGTGCTGTCTCAACCACTGTGGCGTATCTCTCAGGGACTTGAGCATACTGTCGGGAGGGGACTCTGAGATGCAAGCCAGGAGCCCAAGTGGAAACAGATTTTGGGATACACCATTAAAAGAACAATTTGTTGAGGAAACAGAAACATAAGTTAATGAAATATCCTGGTCTGCACACTTTGTTCAACTGACATAGTATATACATAGTCATTTTTTTCCCCCCACAGCTTTCTCAGTTTTCATTTTCATCTCACTAGAGGCAAAGCTCTCTTTCCTGTGTTCTGGGAATTATCCATCACTCATCTAGTGTTTCTGCCCTGGAAAACATTTCTCTTCCATCCCCTCTGCAGTGATGTTGAGAAACTATTCTTTAAGCCAAGCCAGGGCCTATAAGATTGGAATTGTGGGATGCAGTTACTCTACCCTTCTCTCCATTAGCAAGAAATCAGATACAGTGAGCAAGAAAACAGATCCCAGATAATGAATACTGGATTTTATTGAAAACTTTCCTCTGAGGAATGATTGCAATATTTGGAGAGATTAGATTATGTTGTCCTGTAGCAGTGATTTACTATGGATACGGATTAAAGGATTGTATTAGCATCATCCCAGGAATCCTTTTTTTTTTTTTTTTTTCCCAAAGCCCAGGTCTGCCACTTCTCCACACTTGATTCTGAAATATCCTGGAAGGTCAGCAAGCTTGTATGTTTAGCAAAAGCTTCCCAAGAAGTTTTAAGATGTTCCTGGATGATGCTTCACTTTCTTAAAAATAGCAGAGTATCTACGCATACAATTCCATATTAAAAAAAAAAAAAAAAAAAAACACCTTGAAAAGAGACAATATAGACCCCAAGTTGGTAATACTATCACCTTTGAACTCCACATTTGCGTTCCAACATGGACTGGGCAGACAGAGGTGGGGTGTGTCCCCAGAGATCGGGAAATGCCATCATCTTGAAGTCGGTCACAGAGCTGGTTCTTCTAGTTTTCATCATATAAACATAGGGATCGTGGAAGGGGATATCCTTAGGATGTTTCTGTAGAAGCTTATCTATTACTTCAACACTGTCTTTAGGCATGGTGGAGTTGGCCAGAAAGGCATCAGACCTTGGGCAGGAAATGTCTTCTATGTTCCAAGCATCTTCTTTGAGGGAAGCCTGAATGTTAGGCATTTCATTTCCAGTAGACTCTATCCCAAGACAGTTGGTTGGTACGTTTTGAGAAGTTTTCATTCCAGGTGTTTTCTTGGAGGCTAGATGCCCAGACCTTCCCATCTTCACCATGCTCAGAAGGCAAGTCTGAAAGCTGTCTTCTCTTTCAAGCCTCCTGAAACTTGGGTCCATATTCAAGGAAGACTGCTTTGAAGAGGCAGCAGTTGGAATATGGTGGTGACTGGCACATTGAAGCTCTTCCAAGTTCAAATCATCTTCGAGTTTGGACTCCAGTTCCTTCAGGTTTAAAGAGGAAAAGAAAGTGTTAGTGCTTCCTTATAAGTAACTAATACAATTTGACCCCTGTTCTCATTCTCTGGGTACAGAACTAAGTACAAATCATATAAATGGATAAACTTTTTCCAAGGTCAGACAAAGGAAAAGTAACATTCAAGAGTCAAAAAATGGCAGAATCATAGAAACTCATGTTTGGAAGAGGTTTTGGTGAGTCATCTAGTACAGTTCTTTACAGTGCACAAATGTTCTTGCACTGTTTGTTGTTAAGTGCTGTTGAGCCAGTTCTGACTCATAATGACCCTGTATAGGATCAGTTTGGACTGCCGACTTGGCTAGACACTTGATTCACAGGGGCCACACTACAACCAACAATGTATCTTTCAATGCACCCTAGGGCAATGCCTTTTATTTAAGAATCATTCTTAACATTCTACTGGTTGAAATCAAATATCAAGTGAAATCTTCTTCCTGAAACTTTTACCACCAGATCCCCTTCTTCTAAAGTTAAATAAAGTGCTTGTTAAATAAAGCTAAATAGACTCATTTGCTATGGGTTAAAGCACTGGATCTCAAGGTCGGTTTGAACCCCAAGGTTGGTGGTTCAAACTCACCAACTGTTCCTTGGAAATCCTATACATAGTCACTATATTTCTGAACCAAGTCAACTGCACTTAACAACAACAAACATGTTACTTAATTAGTACCATTGTATGTAACCAAATCCATGATTTTTTGAGTCATAAGAAATAAAAGATATCAAAAAGCAGATTTAAAATTTTGATGACAGTCTTATCATTACCAATAATAACAACTACTACTGAAATAGCATCATCAGGCAGGTTTAAGGCTTCCAATGTGTTCTACTGCCAAACACAGACTGAAATACAATGGCCATCTTTAGAAAGTCATCTAGTTCAGCTTTCCTACATTGTCAAGAAAAAATTAAGAATTTTCACTTGCTTTTCCAATGCATAGAGACAGGGTGCCTTACCCAAAGACAACAAGCAGTGAAGGATTTTTATCCTAGGGGTAGAAAGTCAAGTTTTAGGGCCCTGATGTACATCTTAGTTTGGCCAACTTCTTCCCATTTTTACTGAACTTTGTGCTTTTCTCCCCTAAAAGATCCCAGGAGCAGAGTGCTAATGATGAATAGTGATTTTCATGTGAATACCTAGCCCATGTTCTGCAATGTCCCCATCAGGCATCACCAAGGAGCAGAACCACAGCACGTGTCCTACCTCAAAGCTATAGGAGAGCTCACGACACATGGCCTTGTATTGTTCCAGCTCTGCTTCAGGTCGGTCAAGGGCAGGTTTAGAACTTAGCTTGTTCACATCTGTTTCCAAGTCATCATCCTACAACAGAATACCCCCAAAATACATTGCAATCAAGAAAGATACTCTCAGAATGATTGAGAAGAGCTACACATCTTACTCTTCCAAGTCTTAGGGTATGATTGTACATGTGAAGACTGTTGAATGGCAAATGTTTTATTACTTATATTTATCATAATTTGTTTTTTTTAATTTAAAGGTTTATAAAATCTTAAGGCAGTGAATTATTTCATATGGCTCTTCCACTGATAGGTTTTTAACTCCAAGGAACTTTTTTCCCTGATGAACATGGATAAGAGACTGTGGGGCAAGATGCTGATCAGATTATATGATTCAGTATGGATCACTGTTCACTGGGTTAGTTGTGATTATAAACACTTCAAACACTAATGTGGGTTTGAAATGAGCCTCTCACAAACAGGAAGGGAAGAACCAGGAGGTGAGAACATCCATGGCTCTGAGGTTCCTGAGAATTGAGCTTCCTCAATCCAGAAGACAGAACTGTAATGTCAGAGACGTAGCAATAGAAGAACCAACAGCCAGCATACGATACAACATGGTGGCTTCCTAGCCCATGAAGCAGTAAAGCTGAGCGTCTTCAGCCAAAAGTCTCACTTATGGAAGGAACGCCTTTAATTGGGGGAGCGAGGTCTGCTGACCCACATAGTGGGAGTTGGGTGCCTTCAGGCCAAGGCTTACAGCAGAGTAGATTGCCCTGTGGGCATTTATCACCAGTTTGAAAAGAGCTTTGTGACATTACTGGACAAGGCAGAGACCTCAGGGACACATAGCTGAGATGCTAAGGACCCGAAAGAGGCCTGTCTACAGGCACCACAGACAAGAAGCTGCCTTTACCAAAACCTTGAATTATGAGCAATTTTTTTTTTTTTTTGTCCTTTATGGTAACCTGTTTATTTCCCTGAGAATCCCATAACTGTGAATATGGGGTCCAAGTTCTGCGTAGCCATTGTAATGAATTCACGAACCCAGCTGAGGAGACTGTAGGTGGGATGGTTGGTGCCATTTATTACTTAGGGTTTCCTTGTCTTCAAATTATAGTGGTAACTTAGCCAGGGGAGAATTTAATATGCTTCATTTTCTTTTTAAAATTCAAAGAAAGAAAATAAACAACTTTCCTCAATATGTATGTCAGTGTTTAACAGCCCTCCTCATAAATAAATAACAATTCATATAATATCAAGTGAACTATGTAAAGTATATAAAACATGGCATAAAGGAAAAAAATTTATTTCTTCTCCTCTACCATTAACATCATCATAATTGTCATTCTTTATCATCTCTCCATTGTGGCCACTTAGATTCTTCACACAATCCACAATCTCCTAATGAGCACCAATAAGACTAAAAAAGGAGCCCTGGTGGCACAATGCTTAAGCACTCAGCTATTAAGCAGAAGGTTAGTAGTTCAAATCTTCCCAGCAGCTCCTTGGGTGATACCTGGAGATCTCTGATATAGATTGTGGTCTATGTGACAGTTCAACTCTGTCATATGGTGAGTCAAAAATCACCTTGATGTCACACAACCAAAACAATGTGAGTAAGAGTCCCTGGGTATTGCAATTTCTCAGTCACTAATTGAAAGTTTCCACCACTCGTCTGTCAGTGTGTCGCACTGTGGTGGCTTGTGAGTTGCTGTGATTCTGAAAGCTAGGTCACTGGTATTTTAAACACCAGCAAGGTCACCCATGGTGGACAGGTTTCAGATGAGCTTCCAGATGAAGACAGACTAGGAAGAAGGAGTTACGAACTACTTCCGAATATTTAGTAGCTGAAACCTTATGAATAACAAAGAAACACTGTCAGATATAGTGCCAGAAAATGAGTCCCTCAGGTTGGAAGGCACTCAAAATGTGACTGGAGAAGATCTGCCTCCTCAAAGTGAGTTGATTATGATGATGTGAATGCAGTAAAGCCTGTGGGACCTTCATTTGCTGATGGAGCACAACTCAAAATGAAGAGAAACAGCTGTAAACATCCATTGAAAATCGGAACATGGAATGTACGAAGTATGAATCTGGGAAAATTAGAAGTTGTCAAAAATGAAATGGAATGCATAA